AAATAAATAAAATAAATAAAATAAATAAAATAAATAAAATAAATAAAATAAATTTATATTATAATAATATATGTCTTTTTTAAAGCCGAGCTCTATTAAAATATAGATTATAATTTATTAAATTAATAATAATAAAAGTTTTTAATTATCTAGCAGATATTCTTAAAATACTAAACTAGTTTAATAATTAGATCTAGATATATAATTTACTTTATAATATATATTAATTAAAAATAATTATATTTTCTATAATTTTATATAAAATTAAAAATATTTTTTATTTTTTATTTTTTTAATTTATTAATTTTATATAAAATAATAAAGATTAATACTAGTCTAAAACTAGTTTTTTATTAATAAATATAAATAAAGTAATATTAAATATAAAATATATTTTTATACTAAAAAATAAAGCTAGTTAATAAATATATAAACTAATAATTTTTTTAATTTTATTAAATTTTAGAATATTTTAATTAAGCTTTTTATTAGATTTTAATATCTTAAAATAATAGATATTTAATTATGTTTTTTTAATTTTGTTTAAATTTTTTTATTAATTTATATTATTAATTTACTTATTTTATATATTAGATTTAAATAATAAATATTTCTACTTTAATAAATTTAATAATTGTTTATATTTTTATAATAAACTAGTTTATATTTCTAGCAGCTGGATTATTTAAAATAATAATTAGTTTAAAATATATATAAAAGTAAAATTTATAATTTATAAAAAATAAAAAAGTTTTAATAATATTAGAATAGATTATATTTAATATAAATTTAGCTAAAAAAAGCTACTAGCTCTAATTATTTTATAAATAATTTATATAAATATATAAATATTATTTAAATATTATATTAATTTTTTTAGTCTAACTATTAGTTTTTCAATAATATATTATAAAAAGTTTACTAATAATATTAAATAATTAAAATAAATATTTTTAAAACTCGGAAACAAACTAGGATTTTATATTTAAAAAAATAAATTAAAATAAATTCTA